CGGCCCTTTCCATTTTGCTGCTTGTTTTTCCATGGGCCAAAAAAAAATTTTTTTTTCTTCCCAAATGTGCCCTTTCGGGTCTCCTCACACATTTGGGCGGGTGTTTTCCTTTTTTTGTCATGGGGTTTGCGGGGGAAAGATTACGGGCCTCCCTTTGGTTTTGCTGCCAGGCCTGAAACTCCCTTTGGGCCCCCGTACCGCCCGGCCCACGGGGGGGCCGGCGGGGTCCCCTTCCAAGTGTGACATGGGTCCCCTGTACCCCCTTTTCCCTTTGTTTCCCCACCCCTGCCATGGGGCCACTTTCGGGTTTTCCTCACCCCCTTTCTGGTTTCCTTTTTGGGTCATAGGTTGCTGGAAAAGATTTACAGGCCTCCATAGGTCCGGGCCGGGCCCCAAAAATTCTGCCATGGGCCCCCTTTACCCCCTTCGCCCCGGGCTGGGCTGGGGCCCACATTGTGAGGGGGGGCCCTGTACCCCCTCCCCTTCCCTTCCCCACCCCGGGGGCCATGGAAAACTTTTTTGGGTCTCCTCCCCACTCCGGGCTTGGTTTCCATTTTTTTTTTTGGTTGCTGTATGGGGCCCCATTGGGGGCGGGCCTCCCCCCCACACTGGGGCCCTCCAAACACTGGTTTTCCCCCAAAGGCCCCGTGACGGGCCCCAAATGGTGAAGTGTGCGGTGATCTAAGATGGGAGGGGAAATCATCTGCAGTCATACTGCTGACAGTATTATTTCTCTTCCCCGGGCAGATCCAAGGGCTTTTAAAATTTAAAGGGTTTTACAGTGTTCTGCACTAATATTAAGGGGTTTTCTTTTGAACCCAAAATGGGAAAACACCTTTTTTTAAGATTAACCTTAAACGGGGCGAATTATATTCGACTCGAATTCGAATATTGTCCACGAATTCGCCCGATTCAGTTGAATCGAAATTTTTGGAATACTTTGCTCATTCTCTAACTATAAATAGCAATGATATAGTGCTGCAAAAATATTCTTGCATGGGGGTCTGGATATCCACACTGAAGAAAAAAATTAAAAACTAAATAAAAATGAAATATTTGTAAAAACAGCAATTATAAAACATCAATTATTAAAAAACATATAATATATATATATATTTTATGTAAATTATTTCCTCCACAAAAATACTTCCTAAAGGCATTGTAGGCAGCCTTTTAGAGGTGGATGATAAATTAATATGTGGTACTGTAAACATTGCTGTGGAAACAGGGTATGGGGTTCGGGTCAGCCACTTATGATCCATAAATTAAATTCAAAGTTTTGCCAAAAAAAAAACATACAAGTTTGTTTTCAGCCATTGAACAGTGGTTGTTTATTTTTCTGGGGTTCCCATGCATTGCCTCACACCAAGTGACTAAAAACGGCCCGGCGGACCTTTTAATCCAGCCCGCGGTAGCGTGATGAAAAAAAAAAACAGCCAGGGCAGGCAAACATTGGCTGTCAGGATGTGTGTAGGCGGGGCAGCGTGACGAACGTGAGGGGAGCTAGGCTCCTCTCACAGTCCCGCCCTGAAGACCGGAACGCGCGGAGCAAAGGTAAGTAAATTGACACAGGGGGGGACTTGGCTTACTACTTGGGGGGGAATAGTACTATGGGGATGATGAAATACTATATGAGGGATGAATTAATATGGGGGGATGAATTAATATGGGGAATGAATTATAGGGGGGATGAATTACTATAGGGGGGATGAATTACTATATGGGGGATGAATTACTATGGGGGATGAATTACTATGGGGGATGAATTACTATATGGGGGATTAATTACTATGCTTACTATGGGGGGCAAATTTTAATTTAATTTATATTAATTCACACATACACATCATTCATCAGTTATACCTTTTTTTATAAAAACATTGAGGGGTCTATTTTGCTAAACAGAGTTATTTTGGGGTAGTTTTAGGGGTTCTACCACTCCTGTAAACTGTAAATGCAGTTTGGTGCCACAAAACAGTCATGCGAGAATGCGCTCCCTTATTTCCGGGCCCTGCCATGTTCACTTCATGTAACTAAGGCATCTTTATATGATGTTCTCATTTATAGGAGTGGTAGTATAAATTATTTCATAACATCATTACTTACCTATATACTGTACATACAAAACTGAAATAAAAAACAAACTATTTTCAATTTATTTAATTTTTTTTGCTTTAATTTCAAGTAACCCTAATATAAAAAATACTAATTACAAATGTCCAAAATATACCCAGTCAAACACTTCAGATTGTTTGCTGTACAAAATGGTGCAATTTGTGGGGTCTTTCAATATATTGTATAACCATAACCTGGAATTTCATCATTTTCACCATTTTTTTTTCTCTTTCTAAAAAAGATGTCTAAAAAATATAAAGTATATAATTTAAAGTAAGGTAACAAACTAAAGTAATATCTGTCCCCAAAAAACATGGTCAAGATTGGCTAAGTTGACTGCAAAAACAAAGCAGCAATTGTAGGACAATGTCATGTGGTCAAAACCTGAAAAAAGCCCTGGGACTCAAGGAGGTTTGCATAGGTTTAAGTTGCTGGGACCAGGGGCGGACTGACAACTCATTGGGCCCCCGGGCAATAGGGGATCATGGGGCCCCTGTGTCCTAGCCCAAACTCAAAGCACACACAAAAAAGCCTATAAAAAAGGTACCAGGGGCATTTTATGGGGCCCCCTACTGACCCCAGCCCTCGGGCAGTGCCCGAGTGCTCAAATGGTCAGTTTGCCCCTGGCTGGGACTAAACGGGTTTACCAATTCCCACTGGGCCACTGCACATATGCGACTGGGTAGGGCTAGCATCATTCTGGGAGGACACACCTGTGTGTCCTTCCACTTTTGGTGCTCGTGTTCAGAGTGATCTGTGACTGCTGTGTCTGGTGGATTACTGATCAGGGTACCAGCCATTGTGATGGTACCATGTGATCTCTGTGACCACAGCAGTCATGATGAAAAGTATTAAACAATGGCTGTTGTGCATGATGCCATTGCTTACTACTGTGATCTCTGCGTTTGGTCACAGTGATCACATGGTACAAGGCTAATCACAGCTGTAGATAATGGCATCATGAATAGATGCCAAACACAGTTAAAGACAGATTGCTTATACAGTGATCATGACTATATAAGCAATCATAGTGTAAAAAAAAATCCTGATCACTCAACCCCCCCACCCCACTGCACTGCTCTGGTGACGAAATGTAAGTAGAATTGTAAAAAATTTTTTTTAACACACTGTCACCAGAGCAAGTGCAGTGTCACTGTGATGACATTGTATTGCTGTGGCAGTGATCATGTACAATGACTGCTCTGATATCACTGTCAGTGCTGCCAACCGTTACCTCTGATTGCAGTAAAATGTCATCAGACCAATGCCTCCAGTCAGTGTTCTTAATCACCGTCGCACCAGTCAGTGCCCCTAATCATGGATGTCCACTCACACTTGACCCTAATCACCACCACCTACTCACAGTGTCCCTTATCACCACCAAAAGTCATAATTGTCCCTAATCACTGCCACAAAATTCATATTATTCCTAATCACCATCACACCAGTTACATCGTCCCTGATCACCACCACACCAGTCATATTGTCATAGATCACCAGTTACAGTGTTCCTGATCACCTCCACTCCTGTCCAAGTGTCACCAGTCCAGTGAAGCCAACAACAGTGTTCTTTATCACTGACAAAACAGTCGCAGTGTCACCACAACAGTGTAAGCCAATGACAGTGTCTCTGACTGTCGCCCCACCATTTCCATTGTCACCAGACCAGTGCAGCCAGCAACAATGTTCCTGATCACCACCACACCAGAGCAGCATTGCCTCTGCCTGCTGCCTGTACTAACCCTGGCCTATTTATTGATCACATTTCTGCCTGCTTTCTAGACCAATCCTTTGTCTGTTTGCTGACCACTTTTCTGCCTGTGACTTCAACTGACCCATCTGCGGATCATGCTGACTACGCTCCTGCAAGACACCAGTCCCAGCCACCCCATCCAGATAACTGCACTACTGGAACCACAGGAATTCTTTTATTCTTCCTTTATTCAGCCTCCTGTACTTTCTGGCCAGTGAGCATGGCATTACTGGGGGCAGCTATGTACCAGTAGGCTAGGCTTACTTGACTTAAAGTGATACTAAATCCAAGACCCTGCATTCACTATATCTGGTCTCCCACAGTACACAGAACATGGAAATGCAATTATGTTAGTAAATATAAACGGTTAAATACCTTTTCTCATCAGTAGTTAAAGCAATCTTGTGACTTCAGCAGAGCACTGGTTAAAGCTTGTAGGATCAGTTTTCTTTCTGCTCTAGGAGGATGTGAAACCTCTGACCCTCTGTCTGGAAAGTGCTGATTGGCCCTGTGCTGATCACATGCACTCTCCCAAGGAAAAAACAACCTCTAGCAATACACACCAAACTGAGCATGTGCATGTGACCACGGATTCAGTCTGTATCAGGTGGTCATTTCAACAAGAGGAGGGGCAGAGAAGAAAGGATCAAACAGCCTTTTTACACAATGCAGAGGATTCACCCCTTAGGTTCCACAGTGAGTATAACAAGCATGCTTTACTGCATATACAGACTGATTTTACTGTTGTGGGTTTAGTAACACTTTAGAGGAACTGGGACTGCTATAGGTGACGCTACACTACACTATATTCCCTGATCACTCATACAGAGGGGACTACTGCAGTACAGTTTTGACACAATTGGTAGATTTGTGTGATACACAAGATACAATGTCTGGTATATATTCAGTCCAAACACTGAAAAAGTCCTACAATTGTGGTATTGCCATACTCAGGGGGAGTAGTATTATGTGTTTTGGTTTGTAATTCTAAGAATGCCCATGCTGTGTGTAAGAAATATCTTTTTAAATTTACAACTTTGTGTAAAAGAATTATTTTCATTTTCATTCTGCATTTTCCAAAAACTTGAAAAATTAAGTCTTCAAATGACTCACTGTGCCTCATAGAAATTACCTTGGGGTATTTTCTTTCCAAAATGTGGTCATTATGTGGGAGTTTCCAGTGTCTTGGTGCCTCTACTCCAAAAATGTTATAGGTAGGCAGGAAATTATATTTATGCCCCTGAAGGTTCCCCTTGGATTTCGGACCCCTCTATGTGGTTAGACTTTGCAAAAGTCCCACACATTTAGTAACACAATACTCAGAAGTGTGTTACTTATGATGTGTGTTGGAAATGTCTTATTTCACAACTTTGTGTAAAAAAATACATTTTAATTTTCTTTTCTGCATTTTTCAAAAAATTTTTTTTAAAAAAGACTCACTGTGCCTCTTAGAAAATACCTTAGAGTTTTTGCTTTCCAAAATGGGGTCATTTTGTGTGTGTTTCCACTGTCCTGGTGCTCCAGGGCCTCCAACAATGTGATAGTTAGTCAGGAAATTACAATAGATTAAATTTATGCTCAATGTATGCCCCTAGAAAACCCAAAGATTCTCTTTGGATTTTAGGCCACTCTATGCATCTGCATCTAGACTGTGCAAAAGTCTCACACATGTGGTATCCCCATACTCGTGATGTGTAGCAGAATTGTTCTGATGCGTAATTATAAGTATACCTGTGCCATGTGAGAGAAATAACTTCTTAAAATGACAATTTGTATTGTCATTTGGGGGGTATTTGTACTGTCCTGGCATTTTAGGGCCTCAAGAAATGAGATATACAGTCAGTACATCAGGACTGATCAATTTTCAAATATTATTACCATAGTTAGACTCTGAGGTTCACACAGGCTAAATAATATACACTGATTTGGGTTATTTTTTTTTTTTTACCAAAGAAATGTAGCATAATACATTTTGGCTTTAATTTATGAAAAAAGATTTATTTTCAAAATTAAGTAACAAACGAAATAAATTTTTTTATTAATTTTATGTAGCAAAAAATAAAAAACATGGTGGTGATTAAATACCACCAAAAGAAAACTCTCATTTTTCTAAAAAAAAAAAAAAAGATAAAAATGTAATATGGTTTGCAGGACTGAGTAATGGCGTGGGCAAGAAGGGGGTGAAAGTGCCTGGTCTTCAGTTGGTTAAGGAATAATAATTCCCTCATGTCTCTCATGGCTTTTGAATCATTTTATAGAACTAATTCAACAACCAGGCAAGTACTATCACTAATATATTCCTCTATTTTGGGCAATAATTATGATGATGCCCCAGTGCACTGCACCCAGTAGGAATATGATCTGAATAAATATTTCTCGCCTGAAGACTGGACTAAAATCTGGCAAGCTGCCTCTAAAAGCTCCAGGAATGTACAAGTATCACCATACTTGGACATTCCTTGACGTACTTTCTTGCTGGTACTTTATTCCGATAAGAATAGCTAAATGTATTCCGAATTATCCAGCTTCTTGTTTCAGGGGATGAAGAAATGAGGGTAATGTGCTTTATAGATGCCTTTTATGCCTTTCCTCTTGTACCAAATTGTATTGTAACTATAATGTCTACCTTCATTCTGTGAAGTGCTGCGCAAGCTGTTGGCAATATGTAAATCATGTATAATAATATTACGAGTCTTCACAACGATAAACTCAGTACTACAAATAAAAATGGTAGTTCAGTCAAAACCTAACAAAAGCTAAACTTATTCCCACCCAGGGGTGGACTGACAACTCATGGGGCCCCCGGGCAATAGGGGATCATGGGGCCCCTGTGTCCTTGCCCAAACTCAAAAAAGGCTATGAAAAAGGTACTAGGGGCATCTCATGGGGTCCCCTACTGAGCCCGGGCCCTCGGGCAGTGCCCGAGTTTCCAAATGGTCAGTCCGCCCCTGCTCCCACCCCATTCTAAACCTATTCTATCTACCCAGTGAAAGAAAAAATGCTTATACTTACTTGATCTGAAGCTGCTCTGGTCACATGATCTCTCCAGTGGCGGCTTCAGTGTAGAGGAGAGATGACAATGGCTACAAATGCCTGTGCAGTATCTACACCCATAGGCTTACTATGGGGTTACTGTTGTTGGTTGTCCCTCCTCTACACTAAAGCTGTCACTGGAACCTGATCAGGAGACTAGACTGGAGTGGCATCAGAATAGGTAAGTATAAACATTTTCTATTTCACAGGGTAGATAGAATAGTCTGAGAATGGGGGTGAGAGTAGGTTTAGCTTTAGTTAGATTTTGACTAATCTTCCATTTTATTATCTGCAAAGACCCATGGGAAGCCCTTCTATACAGACCAGTAAATTACATTCCTCAGCGGAGCTGCATTCTTGTTACCGTCATCTTTATAGCCACCAAACAAACCATTGCTCACCCATGGAATTTTCCATCTCTTTGTCTTGAGTAGGTCTAATCCAGAATCCAGGGCACATTTGTTAATGAAAAATCAACTGCTATCCTAGGAGACAAGCATGACAATTTTTTATTGATATGGCAACCCTGGCTGGAGTACATTTTTCCCTCACAACTAACGTGCTTGCTTCAACTTTGACAGCCTGGGCAGGAGTTCACTTTCATATTTGATTTAATAGTATATGCATGGCCTCTATGGTGATTTCTTCCCCCATTTTTATTCTTCTTTTTCTCCCTCCTCCATCTTACCATCTTCTCAATTTACCTATTGCCTTTTTAACTTCCTTAGCCTCTCTATTTACAAAATCCAGCACGTTGCCAACATTCTATTTCATCCTCTATTTCCATTTTACCTCAAAATGGTGGCGAAATTGGTGGTACACCTCGTAGGCAGCCATATTTAGGCTCATGAGGCAAAATCATAGTTTACCTATGTTCATGTTAACCCCTTTCTTGGGTTAAATATTACTTCGGATTCCTGCATTATGTTTATACTGACTTTCAATGTAAATGTCTGACTGTGATTTTGATATTTATTGAATAGAAGGTCCCTAAGAGGGCTCATCTGTCATGTTATGTAATACTGTAATATCCATGTGTCACATATGCTTGCTATGTGTGTAATGTTTTTTTTCTCGTTATAGGAAAAATGTATTGATAACAAAAACATCAGGCAACAAGCACACCTGGATTCAATTATAGAGACCAGTTAGGTTCTTTAGTAAATGGTGCCTATCTTTAGGTTTAAATGATAATCACATGTTTGGAACTATTATCTTTTCCTAAGGTTATAGTGTTACTAAACCACAACAGAAAAATCAGTCGTTATATGCAGTAAAGCATGCTTGTTACACTCCCTGTGGAACCTAATCAAGAAGCCTTTTTACACAATGAAGAAGATTAACCCCAATCTTCTTCATTGTGTAAAAAGGCTTCTTGATCCTGTCTTCTCTGATCCTCTCCTTCTTTTACTGTCCCCAATCCATCTGATGATAGTACAGAGCCCTGGGAGGCACTCTGCACATGCTCAGTTTGGTGTGTATTGCTGGAGAGTTTTTGTTTTGGGAGGGCCCAGGGCCAATCAGCAATGTCCAGACAGAGGGTCAGAGCCTCATAGGACAGTCCAAGGAGAATGAAAACTCCTCCTGCAAGCTTTAACCAGTGCTTGGCCAGACACTGATAGAAGTCACGAGATTGCTATATAATGCTGATGATCCTCAAATCCTTAATCCTCAAACTAAACACTCATTGGAGTAACTCAGTATATGGCAAATGTTTTGTTCACAAATACACATAAGAAAAAACAACAATGAACCTTTATAGTGTTTTAGCAGTCAAATAACAACTTTCAGAACACATGTACTATTATTAGCAGAACCTCATATTTTACTAATGTACATGACAGTGCTGGCGAATTATCTTTCTACCTCTGTTTAACTGTGTGATGTTTTAAGGCCGATTCACAGCATGAATCGTACAGGAACAGCCCCTTCAAGCTTGACCCCCTTTGTGTGAGTGTAGTATTCCCCCCCCCCCCCCCTCCTACCCTCGCTTTTGATGTATCTTATCTGTAGCCCTTTTTTTTTTTTTTCTTAATCCCTTCTAACATTCTGCTTAAACTTTGTGATTTGTAATAGTACTGCTTAGACCTTGAAGAAGGGGACATACCCCGAAATCTTGTCCTCAAAATTGTATGTTAGTGCAAATAAAAAAAGTATCACGGACAGTACTCAATTGTTTCAGCCCCTTCAATTGAAATTGAAACTGAAATTGTGCTGTACTACACCAAAGGTAGTGCATGCACTACTTTTAAAAACACACTGCAACCGGATCGCATGGAACCATGAAATCAGGTGCAGGCAAATGCACTGAGTTTGTGACCTGCATTTGGGGGTGTCATTAATTTCACACTGACACTTGCTGCAGATCGAAAGTGGAGTTCTTTTGAATGGTGTGCTTCCCGTACCGAATTTTGGCCCTTAATTCTCTGTTGAACATAAGCTATAAGATGTGTTATTTTTACTTACAGCCATATAGAAAACACAATTTCTCTGTAAACAGATGAAATAATTATCGCTTGATGAATTTAAGATGGGAAAGAAACTTTTCATGGCTCAAAAGCGAGGAGAGACACGAGCAGTATGCTTGGGCATTGGAATGATCATATGTTCTGTAATGATGTTTTTTCTATTGGGAGTCACCGTTCTACCCAAGTATATAAAAAGGTACATTTTACTATTACTATTTATTTTAATAAAATTTAAAGTGTATTTAGTCAGAAATTTTGTGCTAATCGCTGTCCTGCACATTCTGCAGTGTTATTCTACAATCTCATTAGTTTGTTAGCACTACAGAACTCCCCAACTTCTGTTATACTGAGAAGAGAAAACAGGGTGTTTTTAAAGTTGGCCTTAGATAGGTAGAATTTTGAATGAAAATACTTAGGAAAAGAATGTTCTAAGAAAGTTTGTTCGTTTTTTGTAATCATTAGTGGATGAAATCTATGTTCGTTTTCTAATGCAGTGACAAGAAAGGAGCAGGATGGAAACTGTTTCTCAAAAGAACAAATTTCTAACAGTGTATGTGATTTGGTGAAGTCCATTTATTCCAAAATCAATTGTTAAAAGCAAATTAAATCTTTTGAACGACATTCAAACGTTCTGAGAATTTTCATACTAATTTTTCTAAGACTTTTCCTAATAATGTTCACTAGAAAGTCTATCCATTTATGGCCAGCTTCAATCTTGATATGCTTCTTGCCCTAGGGTGACAGTGCAGTTCCTCCATAGACACAGTACAGTAAGTGAGCTTTGCCACATTTCTTGTTATTGGGTTTAGATAAGCTTTAATTTTCGCAGCCTGTTTGTTTTACTAACCCTAAACATTTCCCTTGCTTAAAGAAAAATACAGTAATAAAAAAATTTCAGCAGCAGGGTATGTATACACAGGAGAGTAATTATGAACCACAGAAACCGGCAGCAAAATGTTGATGTCTCTCCCATGGTACCCCCCCCTCCATCCATTTCCAGTGGAATCTCCGAGGCGCCCGGGGTTATTTACTAAATCTGGAAAGTGCAAAATCTCTACATAGAAACCAATCATCTTCCAGGCTTTATTGCTAAAGCTTAATTGAACAAGCTGAAGTTAGCAGCTGATTGGCTACCATGCCCAGCTGAACCAGATTCTGAGTGCACCAGTTTTAGTACCGCCCCAGTATTTTTCACCCCAATAACAGCTGGCGGCATATAAATCTGTGCAATTTAGGACACTGGCTACTATAGTGGCAATGGTGCCTTGCCACTTGTAAACAACTACATATAGTGAACACCAATATATACCTTCAACTTACAGGTACTCTGTGGTGTCCTATGCGAACTGCTTCTAGTTTCACCTCTTTTACATTGATTATCAATAGACAGCCCTCTATTAAGGTCCCTAGTGGCTAACGGAAAGGGCAAAACCCCCTAATAAAACCCCCAAACATTAGAGGTTAATGTAAATGCCCCCAGTATGTGGCAGTCAGTGATGCAGTGCACTCTTACATTGTTAGTGGAGAAAGGCCTAAGCTTTATTAGTGTTTAGTAGAAAAATCCCTTGCTATATCTATTGGTAGTCATTACCATGTCCCTGTTACGTTCACAGTAAGTGACATGTACTGGTGTACAGTGTAGAATTGCTCCAGTTGTTTTGGTGCCCTATTCCACTGGTTCTCAGTGCAAATGTGTCCCATTATAGTGGTATTGATGGTAATTGAAGTACCCTATTACATTAATGGTTAGTGAAGGGTACCTGCATTACTTTCATGATCAGTGGATCAGTGATGGTAGAAAATGCCTCCTTATGTTGTTGGCCGGTGGGAGTGGCTATGGGAGAATCCATGCTTTCTTACATTAGTGGTCAGTGGGAAGTAAAAACTTTCACTTTTACAATGGTAGTTAGAGGAAGAAAGACTAAAACAAAGCTTTAGTGCCAGGGTGGTTGCATACTTGAAAGAGGAATAGAGAAGTTGCTCCTTTGCTGTTATTGAATAGCTTCTGAAATGGAACTAGGAGACCACAACTGGGCGGGAAAGCAATCCACCCTGGATCTCTCTGAACTATGGATGCCAGGCAGGTCCTGGGGATTATTGGTCAAATAAGGAGAGCATTGCAGGTCTCTGCCACCCAAACGTTTTCCTCCACTTAGGGTACATATCAGCTTTTCAAGGCAATTTCATTATCTTAAATGGTATCAGTAATGGGGACCAAAAGGAAAGTCAGGAACTGTAGAACCTTCCCTTTTTGATGCATCAACACACATCTTATATCCCTGATATATCCTTCCATGCAGACCACCACTTAGTCATCAGATTTGCTTTCACTCCCCGCAAGGCATTTCTCTGGAAATTCTTCTTCCGCACTTTCCACTTTTTTTTTTGTGAGATGCGCCACTACCTTACTGCTATCATAAATTTTCCCCTCAAAAATTGAGGCATTTTCAGGATTTTTGTAGAAAGTACACCCATGTGTATAAGATATAAGATTTTTCTAGCTTTATTGAAGATGAATTGCAGGTATAGCATTTTTTACATACTCCAGCTCGGACCACAGTTACATACTTACAAAGTTGGTCAAGTTAAAAAAAGACACATGTTCATCTATCTCAACCAATATAAAATAAAATACCGTATTTTTCGCTCCATAAGACACACCTGACCATAAGATGCACCTAGGTTTTTAGAGGCAGAAAACAAGATAAAAAATATTCTGAACCAATGGACTGCAGACATAGTACAGGAGATGACCAGAGACTGCAGACATAGTACAGGAGATGACCAGAGACTGCAGAAATAGTACAGGAGATGACCAGAGACTGCAGACATAGTACAAGTGATGACCAGAGACTACGGACACAGTACAGGAGATGACCAGAGACTGCAGACACAGACACACAGTACAGGAAATGACCAGAGACTGCGGACCCAGTACAGGAGGTGACCAGAGACTGCGGACCCAGTACAGGAGATGACCAGAGACTGCGGACCCAGTACAGGAGATGACCAGAGACTGCGGACCCAGTACAGGAGATGACCAGAGACTGCGGACCCAGTACAGGAGATGACCAGAGACTGCGGACCCAGTACAGGAGATAACCAGAGACTGCGGACCCCGTACAGGAGATGACCAGAGACTGCGGACCCTGTACAGGAGATGACCAGAGACTGCGGACAGTACAGGGGATGACCTAAGACTGCGGACAGTACAGGGGATGACCAGAGACTGCGGACAGTACAGGGGATGACCAGAGACTGCGGACAGTATAGGGGATGACCAAGAGACTGCGGACAGTATAGGGGATGACCAAGAGATTGCAGACAGTACAGGGATGACCAGAGACTGCGGACAGCACAAGAGATGACCAGAGACTGCGGACAGTACAGGAGATGACCAGAGACTGCAGACAGTGCAGGGGATGACCAAGAGACTGCAGACAGTGCAGGGGGATGACCAGAGACTGTGGACAGTACAGGAGATGACCAGAGACTGCAGACATAGTACAGGAGATGACCAGAGACTGCAGACATAGTACAGGGGATGACCAGAGACTGCAGACAGTACAAGAGATGACCAGAGACTGCGGACAGTGCAGGGGATGACCAAGAGACTGTGGTCATAGTACAGGAGGTGACCAGAGACTGCGGACACAGTACAGGAGATGGACACATTACAGGAGATGACCAGAGACTGCGGACAGTACAGGAGATGACCAGAGACTGCGGACATAGTACAGGAGATGACCAGAGACTGCGGACAGTGCAGGACATGAGCAGAGACTGCAGACAGTGCAGGGGATGACCAGAGACTGCGGGCAGTGCAGGGGATGACCAGAGACTGCAGACAGTGCAGGGGATGACCAAGAGACTGCAGACAGTGCAGGAGGTGACCAAGAGACTGTGGACAGTGCAGGGATGAGCAGAGACTGCGGACAGTGCAGGACATGAGCAGAGACTGCGGACAGTGCAGGACATGAGCAGAGACTGCAGACAGTGCAGGGGAGGACCAGAGACTGCGGACAGTGCAGGGGATGACCAGAGACTGCGGGCAGTGCAGGGGATGACCAGAGACTGCGGACAGTGCAGGGGATGACCAAGAGACTGTGGGGGTACAGTGCAGGGGGGATGACCAGAGACTGCAGGGGATGACCAGAGACTGCGGACAGTGCAGGATAGCTGCATCAGTTTTATGCAAAGCAGAAGCAGTGGTTACATATAAACTGAATAATCTTGTAGCATGGAACATTGTACCATTGAATGTGTTTGAAAACAAGCTTTTGGGTGCCCCATTCCTTTCTTCTGTTCATATGCGAACACAGGGCTTTTTTTCTCATAAAATAAGTGCAGGAACTCACCCATGACCACCCCAAAACCCCCTCCCCCCCACACCCCTCCAAACAGCATCACATAGTGAGTGTGATCAAATTTCACTAACAGTGGGAGGGTCTTAAAGGGGCATTAAATACCAGGAGTGCATTACGTACAGACTGCAGAGTTCAGCCTTTCAGGAGGTTACACACAGAGTGCAGAGTTCGGGGGTGTGCTACATACAAAGTGCAGAGTTCAGCCGTCTTCCACACCTGCCTTCCTCTGTTTCCCCCAACCACATCCCGCTTTCACCCCTCTTCAGCTCTGATCTCTGCATGCAACCCCCCACTGCTCCTATCTTCTCCACCCTCCTTAACAGCTCCACCATCTTCCACGTGTCTGTCTTTTGTTGCTGTAGTACCTTCCCGCACACTGTAGATAGCTCCACCTCTCTCACTTTCAGGGAGAGATTATCTAGAGGAAGTGTCAGCATCTGCACTGCACTCTGGGAACCTTCATCTCCCTTGTCCCCATCCTGCACTCAGTGGGAGACACTCAGAAGATCTGTGGGAGCTGTTGGAAGCAAGCTGTTGCTTGTAAACATAGAAGCAAGACTTCTGTCTTTACAAGTGATAGTGGTGAGCAGAGGGCATGAGCCAGACGTGGCGGAACTGGGTGCCACCAGTTCCAACTGAAAGAAAGCCCTGCGTGAACATAAAGGGATTATGGGGAGTCCTGCCTAAATCTCACACAACAAACAAGTGTTTCCAAAATTGCACAAATTATGGCACTTAGGGCTAATATTTGATTGACCACCATAAGTGAATCTTACAGCAGATCATATTGGCCCGATTTTCTGTAAGGTCAATTTCTCATCCCTCAAGCCAATGCAAGAATTTATGTATTGATGCTGTACCAATATTTTATCTAGCACAGTTGCTGTACTTTTAGTTCCTGAGAGTTTTATAAGCATATAGAATAAGAGTCTAGCAAAGTACACTAGCCACTCAAACATATTCCCCATCACCTACTGTATGTATGCACTTATCCAATCTCACCCTGTTCCAACTGACAAATTTGGGCTTCTGGCACCCAAACCAGGACCAGCTAAAGAGCATATACTCCTGGCCAGGCCCATTGCCATGACTAGATGCATTTGTGAGGGTTGCTAGGGCAAGTCTTACGCTGGTTAAAGTAGATCTCCACAGCTAAATACACACAGACGAAATACATATGGGTAAGCTGTTTAACCAACTAAGTATTATTACGCCTCTTTCCCCCCCCCCCCCATTTTAAGCATACCATGACAAATGACAGAAGAAAAGTTAAGCATCGATGAAAACATTAATATTGAGGTTGATTTACTAAAACTGGAAAGTGCACAATCTGGTGCAGCTGTGCCTGGTAGCCAATCAGCTTCTAATTTCAGCTTGTACAGTTAGGCTTTGACTAAAAACCTGGAAGCTTACTGGCTTCTATGCTGAGCTGCACCAGATTTTGCACTCTCCGGTTTTAGTAAGTCAACCTCATTAAACAAGAAATAGTGATATTAACATTGGTACAATGATGTGAAGCATATTATAATAAACAAATTTAATGTAACATTTTGCCTTTGAAGCGTGTGGACTGCTGAATCTACATGTACCCTTGTACAAGCAACTTTCAAAGACAAAACGAACTGTATCCATAACAGCAATACAAAACCTGAAAGTATTTTAAAATACCCATGCTTGGAAGTGTTGGTAAATCTTAATTTTTCAGAAGACATTTTTATGCTCTATCATACTGAAGAATCTCCAGAATGGAACAACAAGGTAATGTTCACTTGCTTCGTATGTTGTATATTTTTTCTTTTTTGGCTAACTACTTGTCTAATATTTTGCAGTACAGCAAGGGAACCACCCAGTAGTACATTACTGTGCTTTTACTAATCAAGTATGCAAACTACTTAAGGTTACAGGAAAATAAGTGCTACAAATAGGCATACATACAACTGAGATACACTAAAAATCACTTACTGTATCTTATGTTATAGCTGCTTCATGAATTCCTAGAATACAAGATTTTGGTAGTAGGGGACAATAGTCCTTGGATAGTTTACACAGATGTCTCTAGAATGCTCCTCTGTGGTCCAGTCCACAGAATTACTCCTCTGTAGCAGTTCCCTGGATTTTGTCGCTTTGTACAGCTCATCCTTTGTTCTGAATATGCTATATCAGAAGGTGCAGCATTTCAGTTACATCCTCTTTGGTCCTGAGGAGCATAATATCATTTAGTGCAATACAGTGAATTTAAAATTCAGAGTGCTCGGTCTGTTATAGATAATTGATTAATGAAATTATGTTTAAAAAAGTATGGGATGGCTTTTTTTTTCAAAATCATACTTACCTAGGTGGGTGCAGCATCAGTCTCATGCAGGGGTGGACTGACAACTCATGGGGCCCCCGGGCAATAAGGGATCATGGGGCCCCTATGTCCTTGCCCAAACTCAAAAAAGCTATGAAAAACGTACCAGGGGCATCTCATGGGGCCCCCTACTGACCCTGAGCCCTCGGGCAGTGCCCGAGTTTCCAAATGGTCAGTCCGTCCCTGGTCTGATGCTGAATCTGTCCCCCCACTGGCTCTAAGTGTGAGAACTCAGCGATCTCATGACATGAGTTCTCACCACCGCTGTGAGCAGAGAGCGGTGACTGTCAGTCTACAGCTCTCTTCTCTGCACCCCCCGAACTCACTGGAGCTCTGGGCGGGAAGGGAGTGGCTCTCAGCAGATCACTGAGAGGCTGAGCCCAATGTCACTCCAGACTCTGGAGTGGATCCCGACTTTCCCCAGCTTCAGTCAGTTGCCAGCTGAAATTGGGTCACTGGAGTGCAGAACAAACTGCACTCCTGTAATCCACAGAAGAAGTACAGCTAAAGGAGCTGTCCCGACCGGTGATTACTCGCTGGCACCCGGTGATTGCCGAGCATCTCCGACCTGTTCTCCCTGTCAGCTCTTGCACACTGCTTTGCTTACAGTGAAGCACTAACACACAGCCCCAAGTAAAACAGCATACAGAACACAGCCCACAGTTAACCCTTTGATCTCCCCACATGTTAAACCCTTCCTGCCCAGTGCCATTAGTACAGTGTCAGTACTTTTTATTAGCACTGATCACTGTCTTGGTGTCACGGAGGATGTCAGTGACACCAAGTCAGTTTCCCCCAGTGTCAGAATGCCCGCCGCAGTTCCGCTATAAGTCGCTGATCATCGCCATTACTAGTTAAAAAAAAAAAAACTCCAGTATATATTCCACCATTTGTAAACACTATAACTTTCACGTAAACCAATTAATTTACACGTATTGGGATTTATTTTAGTAAAGACATGTTGCAGAATAGATTTTGTCCTAAATTTATGATGAAATTTGATTTCTTAAATTTTTAGTGGACATGTTTAATAGTAAAAAGTTAAAAATACTGTTTTTTTTTTTCAAAATTGTCAATCTTTTTTTCTATAGCGCAAAAAATAAACGCACAGGCGATCAAATAACAATGAAAGAAAGCTCAATTCGTGGGGAAAAAAAGGACATAAATTTCATTTGGGTGCAGCATTGCATGACTGCACAATTGTCAGTTAAAGTAACGCAGTGCCGTAACGCAAAAAATGGTCTGGTCAGGAAGGGGGGTAAATCCTCTGGAGGGCAAGTGGTAAAGAAGCATGGTGAATGTGCACTGGTGGCTATCCAACACAAAGTTAAACTGGTCCTGACAATCTGGGTCTATATACACTATATTGCCAAAAGTATTGGGACGCCTGCCTTTACATGCACATGAACCTTAATCGCATCCCAGTCTTGGTCCGTAGGGTTCAATATTGAGTTGCCTCTCCCTTTGCAGCTATAACAGCTTCAACTCTTCTGGGAAGGCTGTCCACAAGGTTTAGGAGTATGTCTATGGGAATGTTTGACCATTCTTCCAGAAGAGCATTTGTAAGGTCAGGCACTGATGTCATACAAGAAAGTCTGGCTTGCAGTCTCTACTCTAATTCATCCCAAAGGTGTTCTGTGAGGTTGAGGTCAGGACACTCTGCAGGACAGTCAAGTTGATCTACCCCAAACTCGCTCATCCATGTCTTTATGGACCTTACTTTGTGCACTAGTGTGGAACAGGAAGGGGCAATCCCCAAACTGTTCCCACAAAGTTGGGAGCATAAAATTGTTCAAAATGTCTTGGTTAGCTGATGCCTTAAGAGTTCCCTTCACTGGAATAAGGGGCCAAGCCCAGCTCCTGAAAAACAACCCCACATCATAATCCCCCTCCACCAAACTTTATACTTGGCACAATGCAGTCAGGCAAGTACCGTTCTCCTGGCAACCACCAAACCCAGACATGTCCATTGGATTGTCAGACAGAGAAGTGTGATTCGTCACTCCAGGGAACATATCTCCACTGCTCTAGAGTCCCGTGGTGTTGTGCTTTACGACACTACATACGACGCTTTGCATTGCACTTGGTGATGTAAGACTTGGATGCAGCTGCTCGGCCATGGAAACCCATTCCATGAAGCTCTCTAAGCACTGTTGTTGTGCTAATCTGAAGACCACACAAAGTTTGGAGGTCTTTAGCTATTGACTCTGCAGACAGTTGGCGACTGCTGTGTACTGTGCACTTCAGCATCAGCTGACCCGCTCTGTCATTTTATGTGGCCTACCACTTTGTATCTGAAATGCTGTTGTTCCCAGTTGATTCCACCTTGTTATAATACCACTAACAGCTGATTGTGGAATATTTAGTAGCAAGGAAATTTCACGGATGGACTTATTGCACAGGTGGCAACCTATCGCGATACCATGCTTAAGTTCACTGAGCTCTTGAGAGTGACCCTTTCTTTCACAAATGTTTGCAGAAGCAGTCTGCATGCCTAGGTGCTTGATTTTATACAACTGTAGCCATGGAGGTGATTGGAACACCTGAATTCAATGATTTGGAGGGGTGTCCCAATACTTTTTGCAATATGGTGTATATTATTATATATATATATATATATATATATATATATATATATAGTGTATAAAATGGGTCCCCCCCCCCCCACAACCAACAATGTAATATATTGCAGCTTACCAATCCTAAAATGTGGTGGTTGCATAATTTCCTCTCGCTTAAGGCTTTTTTTCCTTCTGTTCTCACCTAGTGATCTGGCCAATAATGCCTCTTGTATTAGAGTTACCCCACTCTGGATAAAGGAGCACAGGGGAACCTTTGGGCAGCAGCACTGTTAATCTGGGGAGAGGGGAGTATAAAATGCACTAGCAGATTTAGATACACTTAAAATTTGAAGCAAAGTCCAGCTCACACTGCAGTTACACAAGCAGTTACAGAACCAGTTTTTTTTTCTTTTGGGATAAAGGGTTTACATAAATGAATGAAAGCTGATCATTGTAAACACCTCAGTGGTAGATGGTTTGTCTCAACACTCTTAACTGCTACATTTGTAGGACAGAAATCCTACATTTGTAGGACAGAAATAAAGGAAAGAAATCCTATAAAATAAATGAAGTGATCACATCTAACAACTGGTAAGCTGCAATATAATAAATGTTTGTTTTGGGGTTTAGGCTTAAAGGGAAAAGGCTTAATAAAACTAGAGGTTGTTTATGCACACAATTGTAATGTTTTTGTTTTTTTTGCAGTGTTCCTACATACCTGAATGCAAGCAAAACTACACAGAAATGGTAATACACATACAAGAAATTCAAAGAAAATTTAATAAATCTTCTTCATTTGTTTGCTATTTTGACCCAAAAGGAAGACATAAAAGTACTATTTTAATGAGAAAATTTGGACCCCAGAAGATGATTTCATACTTTTTTTGGCCAACATCGATGTTTGCTGTTGGACTTTGTGTGGTTATTATTGTTAAAATCAGCCAGTATTTTGCCATGGTTTCTTTGCAAGCAAACAAAGCACTTGAAATTGTCAAAGCCTAAACCTGCTACACCAAAGTTAGAACATTCTTGAATATATCTTTCTTTGTATATAAAATATATTCTGTTTTATACAAGCACAGTTTTATATTAGGAATAGTATATACAGTGGGGCAAAAAAGTATTTAGTCAGCCACCAATTGTGCAAGTTCTCCCACTTAAAAAGATGAGAGAGGCCTGTAATTGGCATCATAGGTAGACCTCAACTATGAGAGACAAAACGAGAAAAAAAAATCCAGACAATCACATTGGCTGATTTGGAAAGAATTTATTTGCAAATTATGGTGGAAAATAAGTATTTGGTCAATATAAAAAGTTCATCTCAATACTTTGTTATATATCCTTTGTTGGCAATGACAGAGGTCAAACGTTTCCTGTAAGTCTTCACAAGGTTGGCACACACTATTGCTGGTATGTTGGCCCATTCCTCCATGCAGATCTCCTCTAGAGCAGTGATGTTTTGGGGCTGTCGCTGGGCAACACGGACTTTCAACTCCCTCCAAAGGTTTTCTATGGGGTTGAGATCTGGAGACTGGCTAGGCCACTCCAGGACCTTGAAATGCTTCTTACGAAGCCACTCCTTCGTTGCCCGGGCAGTATGTTTGGGATCATTGTCATGCTGGAAGACCCAGCCACGTTTCATCTTCAATGCCCTTGCTGATGGAAGGAGGTTTGCACTCAATATCTCACGATACATGGCCCCATTCATTCTGTCCTGTACATGGATCAGTCGTCCTGGTCACTTTGCGGGAAACAGCCCCAAAGCATGATGTTGCTACCCCCATGCTTCACAGTAGGTATGGTGTTCTTTGGATGCAACTCCGCATTCTCTCTCCTCCAAACACGACGAGTTGTGTTTCTACCAAACAGTTCTATTTTGGTTTCATCTGACCATATGACATTCTCCCAATCCTCTTCTGGATCATCCAAATGCTCTCTAGCAAACTTCAGACGGGCCCGGACATGTACTGGCTTAAGCAGGGGGACACGTCTGGCACTGCAGGATCTGAGTCCCTGGCGGCGTAGTGTGTTACTGATGGTAGCCTTTGTTACTTTGGTCCCAGCTCTCTGCAGGTCATTCACTAGGTCTCCCCGTGTGGTCCTGGGATTTTTGGTCACTGTTCTCGTGATTATTTTGACCCCACGGGGTGAGATCTTGCATGGAGCCCCAGATCGAGGGAGATTATCAGTGGCCTTGTATGTCTTCCATTTTCTAATTATTGCTCCCACAGTTGATTTGTTCACATCAAGCTGCTTGCCTATTGCAGATTCAGTCTTCCCAGCCTGGTGCAGGTCTCCAATTTTGTTTCTGGTGTCCTTCGACAGCTCTTTCGTCTTCACCATAGTGGAGTTTGGAGTGTGACTATTTGAGGTTGTGGACAGTTGTCTTTTATACTGATAACAAGTTCAAACAGGTGCCATTGATACAGGTAATGAGTGCAGGACAGAGGAGCCTCTTAACCTCCCTGGCGGTATGATTATTTCAGATTTTTGGGTGCTGAAAGCTGTAACCCATTTTTTTTGCATGGAAATATGTATTTTTTTTATTGTAGGCTGTAATTTTTAGGAAAAACTCACTGAAATCTGTACGAACAAGAGTCTAGTAAACATCCCGGGTATGATAAAATTTGAAACACAAAATCATAAATTATAATTTAATAAATAATCATAAAAATAATATATAAAATAATAAAAAATTTAATTCAATAATATAATCAAACCAAAAACACTGAAATGTGAAATAGAGCGCCAAGTTCGCACATTGCTGAGCTCAGTCGCAAAATCGTTTTCAGTTTCTGATGACGAATTTCCCCCACGAATCATTATCACTCAATTCTGTAAGTGGTTCTGATTTACTATCGCTGCGTCACTGTTCTCTAGCTGATCTAAACCGCTTTTGACCTAAAGGGACACTTTTTGGACGCCATGGACATTTCTCAGTTTCCAGGCAGAAAGAACAGACAAAATGCAGGCAGGGCGCAGGACAAAGCACTCGGGACAATATGTATGTGAAATAGGTTGAAACAGCAATGTTTTACTGTGTAAAATGAAAAAAAAAAAAAAATGACATTTTTTAAAATTTTTAAATTTCCCGCCCGCCGGCGGCGGCGGCGGCGCCCGTACGTCCCGACGTCACAGGGACAGGACACAGAAGCCGGATGCGGCATGGCATCGGCCGAGGAGATGGCCGGGGACGCTGCAGGGGACAGATCGTCGGAGCGCAGGGTAAGGTAAGTGAAGAACACATGCCGGAGCAGCGCGCGCATGGTATTCCCGAGTGTAGCTCGGGTTTACCGCTTTTGGTACTGAAATGTTACCCCTTTTAGCTACACTCGGGAATACCGCCAGGGAGGTTAAAGAAGAAGGTACGGGTCTGTGAGAGCCAGAAATCTTGCTTGTTTGTAGGTGACCAAATACTTATTTTCCACCATAATTTGCAAATAAATTCTTCCAAATCAGCCAATGTGATTGTTTGGATTTTTTTTCTCATTTTGTCTCTCATAGTTGAGGTCTACCTATGATGCCAATTACAGGCCTCTCTCATCTTTTTAAGTGGGAGAACTTGCACAATTGGTGGCTGACTAAATACTTTTTTGCCCCACTGTAAGTGAGTAAATAGAGAATTCTGACCAAACAAAAACAAAAAAATATGATATAAACATGTAATTGTTATTATAGGTAGGTGGCTAATGTTGATTAGTGCTTACTAAATACACATGGACAAACAGAAGCTGCCCTATATACAGTATTTATTAACATCTTAAAGTATACCTAAAACTTACTCCTCTATTTGTATTAAAAAAATGAAGGCTTGTTTTCAAAAATGTGCCACCTTACTAAGAGGAGCGGACAACTCCCTGCAAAACTCATTGTATTATTGTCATCATTGTCTGAAGAACTGACAGTTTCATGCAGTGCTTAGTGTCACTAATTGTAGAAAAAAGTAAAGTGCTGTACTGTACTTTTCATAGACAGATGTAGAAAAGTAAAATTGTTGGCGATACATTAACTGAATATATTTTGAGATGCAAAACTTAGAAAAACACATGGGGGGTTATTTACTAAAATTGCAAGGTGCAAAATCTGGTGAAACTCTGCATAGAAACCAGTCAGGTTCCAGGTTTATTGCTAAAGCTCAATTGAACAAATTGAAGTTAGAAGCTGATTGGCTACCATGCACAGCTGCACTAGATTCTGAGTGCTCTAGGTAGTAAATCTCCCCCACAGGGTATAGTAACATATCAAGTGAACCCCCAATCTTTAGCACTAATTTAGTCAAAATATGCAACTTCAGAAGAGTTTATTTAGCCATATATGGCAGCAAAATGACAGTAGGGGGCTAAAGTACCATCTAGATCCTCCCATGGGAGGCAAGTTGGTAGTCATCCCCTCCCTGGTGAACTTGTTCTAGAGGTCCAAGGGTTTCCTAAAGAGTTCCACTGTGCATGCAGTGGGGATATTCCCACCAATGCCATGGTATTGCCTCCATTTGAACGAATAGCAGGGGTGCTAAAGAGTCAGTTGCCTATCAGCATCAGCACTTTGGGAGAGAGGCCCCAATTTTTTGACATTCAGTCTTACTTGGGGAAATGTGAGTAAACAATTCACTAGGTAAGTTTCTTGGTGTGACTTTCACAGACCCCTAGATTTATTTTAAGAAAAGCTCTTGTTTTATTTGGAGCTGAAATCTAATTGCAAAACATCTACTGCCAATGTCACTATTTGTAGATAGATCTGAAATCTGTTTTCTTTAATCTCTTGACATTATATTCTAACAAGGTGGTGATTATACTTTTCAAAACCCCTATTTTCTATAGGAGCTAGAAAAATTAACACCACGGTCACATCGGGATTGACTTGGCATGCGATTTGCATGCCATGCGACTTGCAAATCATATGCCAAGTCGCACCCTGTTGTCCACAATTAGAGCGGTAATATAGGTATGGTTATACTTTTGTTGCGATCTGCATAGAAATCTGTGTCAGATGTCTTGCAAATCGCATCTCAAATCGGCAAGTCACCTGACTTTGAAATCGTGCGACTTCACTGTAAGTCGCACGATTGCAAAATCGGCTTTGATGTGACCGGGGTGTAAGACTTGTTTTCTCAAAAATCATTTATCATGGGCTGGCTAAAACAGCTGATAATTTTTGCAGATTACTATGAATACCACGGTTTAAATAAACGAGATCTGTTTTCACACATGATCTTGCTATTCTAATCCAAGGTGCTGACAATTTCTTGCAATATGCAGAGAACATCCAATGTCACTCTTGCTATATAAGAGCAGAAACAGAACAGAAACGTCTTGCTTTTTCTGTCCATGGAGCTTGTGATTTTTGTTATAGTTAGCATGCAACCAATGCCACTATTTGTTGAAATACCTTTTTAGTGTACAGAACCCTCAATTTATGACAAAGCTCTACATTCTAACTAGTGTCACTATTTTTTAGAAAAAAAATAAGGTGTGTTTAAAAAGAGCCCTGGGGTTGATTTACTAAAGGCAAATAGACTGTGCACTTTGCAAAGTGCAGTTTCACTCTGCATGAGCAGTTGCTCCAGAGCTTAATAAATGAGAAGAGGCTCTGCTGACTTCCATCATCCAATCATGTGCAAGCAAAAGTGCTTTTTTTAAATTTTTCTTGCACATGATTGGGTATTCCTTGCAAAGTGAATCTTTATCTCATTTACAAGGCTCTGGATCAATTGCACTTGCAGAGTGCAACTGCACCTTGTATGGTGCACAGTCTATTTGCCTTTAGTAAATCAACCCCAAGGTGTATCAGTCCTCAGAGTGTATCATTCTAAGGTAAATGCTTGACTTCACAGAACAGATTCTATCTTTGGTATGCAGCACTACTAGGAGGTTTGAAACAACTATAAGTCTTGTACCAACACATCATTTTGATTGGCCACCTCATTGTATATTACTGTATTTGACAAAATAGAAGTTATACTTCTATATATTGTACTGTATCCATACTCCCTATTCTTAATGAAC